TTTCAAGATGATAATCTGAAAAACCATGTTTAGGAAATGAAAAGTTTTCCTTCAGTTTGTCTTCTTTTGTTTTTTTCATCGGTTGTTTTATTTGCATGAAATTTCAGTCTGATCATTTTAACCTGATCTTAAAGCCTCAAGTTGTACATTCAACTTTCAAAATGAAAACTGATTATGTGAGATTTTTCTATTTAAGTTAAATTAGAATACAAACACATATATAATTGGTAATCAACAAATATTGATTGGTTTAAAATATTGACATTTGTAATTAAAAGCCACTAGCAATTGGTAATGTCGAAATTTGCCTGACCTTCCCATCCATTGTAATGAAATTCCATTTATTGAATTTTCGTTACCCCAGAAAGGGAAGCAATTTTTCAAAACTATTCTAGGAAATTAATTCTCTTAACTTCCAAGATGCACAGGCCCTGGAAATCTGGTGGCACAGGGATCCATCCCTAGAAGACTATCCCCACTCCCCAAGACCACTGCTCATATCAGTTAGAGAAAGCCAGGTGCCCTTTCCATCCAGAAGGACTGTCTTTTGCACAGTGGAACCTATCTTTAAGAAAGGGAACTGATGGAAAAATAGAAAACAATAAATGGAATTTCACTTTATAATTTAATTTGAAAAATATATATATATATACTTAAATATATATATATATATATATAACATGGTGAAGGACTCACATTCTATTACCACACCTTAGGTAACTATGTAGGAAACCATTTTTTTTAAGCAGCTGATTTTAAAGGTAGAATTTTCACAGAGACTCATTTAAATAGAATATGCAGGTTGGAAAATGACAGGTGATCTCTCATCAAAGATGGAATCAAATTGATCTGCAATTCTGAGATCTCTGATTAGGTTATCAAGGTTTTATAGGTACTTGGCAAGTGTTTCATAAAATAACTGTAAAACTTGTTTTGAATTCAATTGGGCCAAATATACATAATACCATTCATGTCTACAGAATGTTATATTTTTCAAAGCACTTCCTTACTTATTACTTGTGAATTAGTAGAGAGATCACCTGAAGCAGAGGCTGGATTACTGGGTTCAAGTCCCGGCTAGTTACTTACTAGCTGTGTGACTTAGGTAAGTTATTTGAAACACCTGATCAAATTGGGCAATACTTTATAAATTGTTAACTGACTTGCAATATATTTTTTAATTTAATCCTCTTTAACAAAACCATAGGGTAAGTATTCAACTAATAATTTCTTCTGTTTTCTGGTTGAAAAAAGCAGGACAAATTAATGTAGATTATTCCATTTTTGTGAAGTTTCCTAACTTCTCCCAACCACCCTAAAACAATTAGCAAGGTTTAGCATGTTATGCTTTTTGGATGTCTTCAGGAATTCAACTATGTGTTTAGAAGTTTGGCCTTAATAACAAGTTGTTACAATTATTTGAGGATATTAATGATAATAATTTTTCATCGAATGTCATTTGTAAAAATAATATATACTTGCAAACAACAAAGTACTTAAATAAGAACACAGGAATAAATTTTAGGATTTCTATAAAATACCTATGATTGAAATACTTTACAACATGAATTTCATATTATTTTAAATAAATCTAAGAAAAAAGACTTAAAAGATTTTTTTCCCATGGTATATCTCAAGTAGACAACTTTACAATCATCCAATATTTTACACATAGTATATTCTATTCTTAAGAAGTTTGACCTTTTTCAAGTCCCAAAGTAATCTATGAACTACAAATTCTGTTTCTAAGAACCTGAAAGTTTCTGCTGTAAATTCATGCTTGATTATCCACAAACAAGAAGAGAGCCCATTCAGCTTTTATCTTTTATCGCACATGAATTACTGATGAAATATGGAAAACTTAATATACATCTTCATAGATTTATTGCTATTTAAAAATCAAAATCAGTTGTTTTCTCCATTTCTGGAAAGTTTATTAATTAAAAATTATAAGTCTTAGAGGAATTTATTTTATTGTGACAAACATCTTTCTGTCCAGTATTTTATATTCTTCAAACCAGCTAAAGTCATTGGTAGCAATGACATGAATATTTTAGGTATCATTACAATTAGTTACCATAACTCCCCCTTCCATACTAAAATGTCCTGAATTGTTATCCTTTTCCTAAAAGGTAAGATTGTTTGCAAAGGATGAACTCAGGCATCTGGCTAGCTAGTAAAGGCTATGGTCTGCCTTTTGATCTTGGTTTTGGAGCTGCATATGTAGGAAGCTGGAGTTTGCGTTCTCAGAGCTTCTGGAGAGTCTTTGTCTCCCAGGCAAAAATTTCCCTTATGGGACAAGAGATTGTGGCCAGTGTTTTCCACATTTAATCTCCCCAAAGGATGTGAAGCAGGACTGAGAATTAATTGTGAGTGAATAAACACCTAGCATCCGAGTTAATTTGAATACCATTTTCTAGAAGAAGCACCAATGAACTGAATAGATATGAAGCCAACTCACCTTCAGGGAATTGGACACTCATCTCAGAAAATTTGAACTTCACCTAAGTCTTCTCTAAATTAAAAAAATAAACAAATTTAGCAATATTTTAAAATTGGCAATCAAGTTCACCCCACTAACTATGGGAAACAGCCAAATGTTTGATAAAACATGGGCTCTGTGTTGAAACACATGTCTTAAACTACTTGCATCATTTTATATTACGGCAAATATAAAATGCAGGCTATTCTGTGTTGCCTCCGTAATTGCTGCTTTGTGATTACTGGTGAATTTACCATTTTCATACAAATTCCAAGCATAGCCATGTCTCCAAAGATGCATGTAACCATCCTGTATGATGCAGCAATTACATGAAATCTACATCCTTGCATGCTTCTGTTTTCATAGAAATTCGATCACTAAGCAGGAAGCTGGAGGATGCGTGACTGCTGATCTTGGGTAATAAGTGCTAGTAACCCCTGACAACAAGCTTGACCTTGGAAGAAACACAGAGCTCACCAGTTGCTACTAAAGCTGTCTCAAATTGTGATGTATAGAGTTTTATTCCCTTTGAAGCCCAATATCAGGTCTTAAGAGCTTCCTTCTCTAAGCAAAGCAAGCAGATGTTTAAAGGGTCTACAGTTCAATTGTAGCATAACTTTTTAATCAAAATTCCTAAGGTATTTCTTGTTTTTAGTCTACAAGTCCTAGTATTATTCCTACTTGTATGAAATCAAATGTAATGCTCCAAAGCCATCTTTATCATTCCAACATTTGCCATTGACCATAATCTCATAATTAATCGTTTTGAAACTAACATATCAGTATGGAAAGTGGAGTACAGGTTTCATCTCTCCTCATTTATTTTCACGACTGCTTGAGTCACATTACACTGACAACTTTTCTTATGACAACTTATGAGATGCACTGTGGTTTAGATATTCCATCCACAGTTTTTTTTTTAATTACTTATTTTTTGCATCTAAAACTTTTTATTAAACATTATGGGCTAAGTGACTAAATAGTATGTGAGTTCATGTTGGCCCGATCTAATTTTACTGCTTGCTTACAAAATATTGGTGATTCACTGTCAACTTAAAACACGTTGCTGTTTTTGGTATAGGTGCATACATATAGTATGCATATATCCAGACAAACTTTTTAAAAGTCATTTAAAAAACATGACTCTAAAAATACTTAACAGTCCATATACACATGCATATGCCAATTGTAGATAAAACTAAGTTATTAAGGACAAATTAAGTCAGACAAGGAGGGAGTGTGTTAAAGTATAATTAGTTTTATTTTTTCCTATATACCTCACTGTTTGTCTTACCATTTGTACACACAAAGGTTGAACTCAAAAAACTGACTTGCCAGAAATAAATAATTTTTTGGTATTTAAAGAAATTATCTACTTAGTCTTTATGACAAAAACAGAGTGAGATCTCTCAACTTCTATAACTGTAAATTCTGAATTTCCATTTCTGATCTAAGATGATAAATTTGATGATATTAAGGTGAGGTTCACAGGATTTGTTTAGTTGGTTGGTTGGTTGATATTATTTGTTTTTCAAAAAGGAAACCTCTTCATGGGACCATTTTAAGATAAACAAAATTGAGCCAATGTATAGAGTGGGGTGACAAAAAAAACTTTAATACACAAGTTTCAAAAGCTGCAGTTACCATTTGAGCAAATTGAAATGTAAGGAATTCCCATTTATGGTTCAGCCTTCAAGCAAAATAGTTTCTGAAGTAAAATGTCCTAGACTAGAATGTGTGAAGAATCGAGAAAATAATTCTGTTTGCATTTTATTGCACAAAATTGTATTGTATTGCCAATAGACATCATAGTGAAAAATAAGTATCTCAGACTATACCCATGTTGAAATTTATTTAGGAGTACAAAAATTCTTTTTTCTTTCATGATTGTTTCCCTCATGATTTTTATCATGGTTTCATGATAAGCGTTGTATCAACATGCATAGCAGATACAAAAACCTAAATGCTCATCACACAACAGTACATTACATGTGTACGAGTGTACATATATACATATATATATATATTTTTTTTATTAAGATGCTCTCCCACATCATAAAGTAAAGTGGACTTGGAGTGAGCAAAGTGCATTCATATTTTCCTTTAAAATTGTTTAGCAGTTCTCAATATTCAGTGTAACAGATAAGCCCATTTGAATAATTTAAAAGATTTTGCACTGATGGCCTATTGATTTACCCTTGATATCCAACCTTCCCATGGTCTTCATTAGACCATCTAAAAATGCCCTACCAAGTGGAATCTCCATTATGGTCTGTTAGTAGTGAAAAGTATGCTGTCTTATTTCCTTGGACATTTTCAGTTGATTTCCTCGCAGATCATAAAAATGGTAACTATGGAAGGCTGAGCAAATAAATAAATGGACCTGAACTATTTGCCAAAGCATTTCATTAGTGGACATCTTTAAGTAAGTGATGCATTAAGTAAGTGACGCTCCTGTGTTAATAACCCCTAAACCATGTGACTTGTCTCCAGCCTGTGTGTTGTCTTGTTTCTACAGAGTGTTATTGTGACCCTGTGGGCTCAGTCCATGGTCGTTGTAATGGCTCAGGATTTTGTGAGTGTAAGACTGGAACAACAGGGCCTAAGTGTAATAAGTGTCTGCCGGGAAATTCCTGGCACTACGGCTGTCAACGTAAGTACCTCTGGGAGCCGCCCTCTGCCTGCTGCAGCATGGCTGATTCTGCTTGTTTAGGCTGGTGTGTGCAGCTTCTCAGAGCAGAAAAAGACCCAAACCGCTGACAAGCTTAAAAGCTACTTAATGCCCCAGCCTGCGTCTAGGAGAGTGAGCAATCCATCAATTGTCCAGCTGGCTTCTCCGAAGCCCATCTTCAGACCCTCTGATGGCTGAAGCAACTTATGTTGAAATACTGCACACAGATCCATGTACCTGGCCAGACCATAAATTAAGTGGCACAATAGGGGCCAGGTTTGGGAATTCTCACCGCAGAGTGAACAGTGATGTGTATGTGGTTAATATATTTCTTGATCTGAAAGTTAGTCTGAAGCTGCAGAGTTCATAAATTAAATGAGATCTACATAACTTATGACCATCCTTGCTCTCATACCCATCCCTGAATGTTAACCAAAAACCTAAAGATAATAAATCTGAGGGATATCTAAATGCCAGGGTAAAATAAATGACAAAAATCAATATTGATTTGAAGCCTCTGAGGTTAGGCACCATGCAGGAGGCCTTAGATGGAGCCATTTGGTTCAGTTTCATGTCTCGAGGATCAGTAAACCAGCTTGTCCCTGCAGGTGTATCCAGAGAACAGAAATTTTAAAATCTGAGCAGAAGCTTCCTTCCGTCATTCATAACCTTTTCTGCTTTTTAATTCCACACTAACTTTCCATTCCGGGGTTCGACAGTCAGCTTACTAATATTTCAAGAGCCACAAGGCAGAGCCTCTGAGCAGTGCAGTCCACATATGGAATTTTAAAGGTTTGAGCTCCAATTTCCCAAGTCAGAATAACTGCAAGTCGATTTTGACCACTTATTTTATTTAACTTAAACTATCTAGACTATTATTTCAACTTACGATTGGCATCAAAATTATGAAAAGTGTATTTTACATTTTCTAGGCTGTCTTGAAAATCATATGTGTGTTTTGTATTCACAAAACATCTCAATTAGAACTAGCCACACTGCAAGGTGTGGTACACACATGTCTGCTATATTAGGCAGCATGCTTAAGAAGTTTTTTGAGCCTTCTTTTCACTTGGAAATAAGGGGAGTGGCAGGAATTACCTGAAAACAGTTTCTGGTAGGGCTACAAAGAATATTTTACCTGATACTTGTGGAACTTCCAGTTATATAGATGCTACCCTTCTACATAATATAAAGCCAAAGTGAAATTTACTGGGTTGCAACACACTGTGAAAATAGGTTGAAAATCTGGCACTGAACAGACCAAGGGTAGAATGGGACCCAGGAGTTAGAGGGGGAACACCCCCAGCCAGGCTGGAGAGGAGCATTAAAAGACAGATGAGGGGAAGTAAGGCAGCACAGCCACAGCAAGCTCAGGAGAAGTTTCCTGAAAGCACCCTAAGAGGTCTGGATGAGCCGGTGAATCCCAGGAAGCCGGTGAGAGTCCAGGACTCAGCGCATTAGTCCTGGGGCAACTAAATCAGACAAAGGAAGGGTTAAGGAGAAGGATGTCCTAAAGGAACTCTTCAGAAACTTGTGGACTCCACCCCCTCCTCCAGCTTTCTGGACTCTGCCCCCGACTCCAGTGACTGGAAACTACAACTCCCAGCAGTACCAGGGAGAGAACTGTGAGGACCCAAGGGCGGAGCTAAGCAGCATTCTGGGACACTGGGGGATAAATAGGGCGCCATTTCGTGTCTCGCTCTCTCGCTTGGGAAACAGCTCTCCAGACCGTGTGACTCGGGACTTTCAGTTAGTGTGCTACCAGAGCTCCAAGTCAGCCAAGCCGGTAAGATATTCCAGTTGTTTCCTTTTCCCTTTTGTAAATAAACCCATTTTAACCCTTTTGTGTGCACCTGCAGTACATCTGAATTTTAAGCGCACAGGTGAGGCCCCACAGACAGGCGGCCCAGTTCACACTAGGGTGCCCTGTAACAGAAGGGATGAAATCCCCAGACTTCAGGCATAAAGTATCAGACACACTTCTCAGCTGGCTCTGTAAACTTCCTGAGGCAGCAGGACCTGATGGGTGGTTTCTGGATCACAGTCAGGGAAGGACATAGGGAAGGAAAATAAATGAATCTAACCTTCAGGGGAAAATAATCCAAAAGGACCTCCCTTGGTTTTTCTGTATTAATACTGGAGCATTATGAAAAGATATCACCCAATAGGCCCTTCTGGAATTGGAGGGGACAAGAGCGTGGTCCTACCACATACGGGCGGTGTGGTGTCCCAAACCCTGGTGGCCTCAGTGCAGCACCTGACATGCTGGCATGTGGTCAGAGAGGTGTTGGAACTAAGCACTTCACCTTTCTGAGTGTGTCCTGTGTGCCTGGGAGGAACTCGGCACTGTGCCAGTGGTGGAGGCTCCAACATGAAGAGAGATGGCTGTTGTGCACATGGAGTCCACATCTAAGGGGAAAGGCTGGCATGCTACCCAGCAATGATGAGAGAAAGTGACCAGAGCTAAAGGAAAGCTAGATTTCAGTGCAGCCCAGTAAGGGGTAAGGCTGCCAGGACACCATGTTTAGATGAGCATTAAAGAAATGGGAGCTCTCCAGGCTGGGACATTTTAGGCAAATTTTTTTGAGCTAACACACTATGTTCCAGGGATGTTAACTAATTTTGATAGGACTGGGGCGTAAGGTAAGTGAGTGTGTGTGTGTGTGTGTGTGTGCGTGTGTGTGTGTGTGTCTGAAAGGAAGGGAGGAAAGAAGGAAAATGTTGAAAAAATAAGCAGAGACCAGATCACATGGAGCCAACATATGGAGGACATATGGGATCCAACAGTTTTCAGCAGAAGAATGAAAAGATCAGATTTTGAAATAGAAAGATGTCTACAGTTGCTCTGTGAAGAGAGGACAGGAACAGAACGAAACTAGATTTGTCACATACATTGAACTTTTCAAATACCCCTTTGTACTCATAAGAGTTTTATCTCACCATGAAATCTTTCCCTTTCTCAGACCCACCCTCACAGGACTGACATTCAGTGCAAAATAGAAACAGTTCTGTTAGTGGACAAGTCACTCCTTTACCAAGATCTGTCTTTCCTTGGGATGTCTTATGTGGTCCCCAAGATCCAGCAACAAATGCGGTAACACTTCATTGTAGGGTGCTTCCAGCATCAGCTTTAGTACTGTAGCAGGTAGCCATTCTAATTAGTTAGTGCTTATAAGTTGTTAATTATTTTTTATCTGACCCCTCTGTCTGCCCACCCATGATGGCTCTCAAAAAAAAAAAAAAAAACAAGTCAACCTTGAGCACAGGTGAGGCCCCACAGACAGGTGGCCCAGTTCACACTGGTTGACTTGGGTGTTTTTATTCTCTTACTGTCTTTACCCCTACAATTCTGCTTGTGCCAGGGAGAGGCTGTACTAGGTATCAAAGCAGATCCTAAGAGCCCTGAGTAAGACACCTAAAGACCTGTATTTGGAATCAGAAAATAAAGAAAGGGATTCAGTTACTGTTGTGGCCACTTACACACTCTGAGTAGAACAAAGTGAGGACACAGTTAGGTTATGGGGTCACACAGACTGGAGTTCGAATCTCATTTTCTCCTCTTACTATCTTCAAGACTTAGAGAATAGTACTTGGCTCTCTACACTTAGTTTTTCTTCAACAATGGAAGTCCTCCTGGGACCTAATACATCCAGTAATTGAGAAGATCAAAGGAATTAGTAAATGTGGATCTCCTGCAATATTGAAAGTGCCCTGTTTGTATCACCTTGTTACAGACACACCTCAATGTGTCAAAGAACTAGGCAAGAATTTACATTACAAACTTCCTGCATATTATTGTAGAACATGCAACAAGATTGGCTACTAGTGAGTGTCAAACTGTTGACTAAGGCTTCTAAAAAGTCCTTGATTAGATTGATTCAAGAGACCAATGCAGAGCTGACCTCAAAAAGCAATTGTGTGCCTTCAGATGGAGAAATGAACTCCAGGCTCATCAGTGAACTTTGTGCCTGAGGTTGCCACCAATTCAATGCCCCATGAATGTAAGCTTCTCTTTCTGACTCCATAAGTGAAACACTTGGAAACTATCAGAATAAATGGTCTTGAGACAGCATGGAACACACAGCCCAGAAAAGAAAACAGAAATGAAGACATTTCAAGGAGGTGACAAATTAGTGTTGAGGTTACCTTTAGAAGAATAAGACATTGAGGAGAAAGACATTTTTTTTTAAAGATGTATTTATTTGTGCATACAGAGCTTGGGTACAGGCCAGAGGCTCAGGGGCAGCAAGAGGCTTCACCATAGACAGAGTGGGGAACAGAACAGGCAGATCAACAAAGTACACTGCTGAGGGGAGCAGTGGGCAGGTCAGGAGAGGTCTGCCACGCCATGTGGTCACCTCCAGGGCAGGCGGGGATCGAACTCATGCGGAAGTGGCTTTAGCTTCTCAGTGCAGTGCTTTAACCCGCTGCGCCACCAGGGAGGGCCAAGACATTTTTTTTTTTTTTAATGTGCCCTTAGAAATCAGAGAAAAGGCATGAGCCCTACCCTAGGGAAAAACAACTAAACTTTCCAGAAAGAAAGTCACACTCTTTGTGTGTGTCACATACAACATGTTTGTAAAATAATGAAACACAGCTCTAACACCAGCAAGACTGAAGATAGGGAAAGTTTGTGATGATGATGATGATGATGATGATGATTATTATTATTATTATTATTATTATTATTATTATTATTATTTTGGTTTGGAAAAGGGGATGGAATCAGCGAGGCTGATGATATTTGTTTTCTTTCTGAAAGATGTATAAGCTACAATGTTTATTAAAGCCACAATCATGGCTAAATTATATGAATACTAATGGTGTCTTAGAAGAATTTATGGTTGGATTATTTAGACTGAGGTCACAAGCTTTGGTGATCTACTTAAACATGATTTTAGAAAATAAAAGTGTCTACAAAGTTAAGGACTAAGCAGTTCCAGTTTCTGGGCCAAGCCCCGCAGAGTCAGAATATTGGTTCT